ATATATATATATATATATATATATATATATATATATATATATATGTGTGTAAACGGTGGCGATATACAGTAGTATATATATACCTGTATTAATAAGAATAATAATGATAATAATAATAATACTTTTCAGTAAAATATAATGATAGTAAATCTAAAATTCTAAGTGAATTCGAATTTAGAGATTGCCTACGAGGAATAGAAGAATACGCACCCATGAATAGTCACACAATACCGTGGAGGGTTTCTATTGCCAATTCCTCTTTGTGCGACATACGCACCACACACTACATCTCATGCCCCCACCCCTCCACGAAAAACTCCGCAATAAAAACCATCTATATATATAAAAAATATATATATGTAAATAAATAAATAAATAAATGCTAATATAAATAACCAAACAAAACTAAAATCAAACAACAATTTGGATTTAATAGAAATTTAGATAATAGTAGATATAATAAAGTATAGCTACAAGAGAAGAGAAAAATCATGAACGGTCACATTTAAAAATCCAAATCACTGATAAACTGACGAATAATTCACAATGTTCGGTTTTCCACCGAATATTTATTCCCCCCCCCACACACACGCACACACACACAGAGACACGCATGCACTCACACAAGCTTCGCTCGCATGCACGCATGGCCTACGCACAACTGGCCTGCGCAATCGTCTAAAGTGACCAGTGGCTTCTCACCTCTGACACCTGAGGCGCCACTTGATGGACAGGTGTCCAGTGAACGCCCCCATTTAAATTGAGAACGTTCGGACCCTCGATGATCGACACCTGCCACCTTGCGGTCCTTTAATCGGCCTCATTTGCATTTCGGCCTTCGCACAGTGTAGTTTAACTTTCTCCGAATTGTTCTATTGTTTGTTCCGCGTATAAATGCTCTGCGTTTTAAGTTCTGCGAATTATTCAATAATATTGTCACCCGCGCATTTGTTTGATTATCTCGATTATTATAATTAAATCAGCACGTGTAAATATTGACTTATTATTGTGATTAAATTGACTGAGTTGAAAAACGTGCACGTGTTGTGTTTTCTGGTCCCTCTCGCGCTCCCGTAAGAATCCGTTAATATCTCACCCATCGATCCATAATTCCACAGATCTCAGACCCGGCATCGAAAATTTTGGTCCTTCGAGCCGGATCTGTGGAATATCTTTCAGTTTTTCGAGTTTTTCAAGTGTTTGAAGCGGAGGGAAATACGGACAGTGTCTCAACAGTGGTACTCAACAGCGGCTTCTCGACATCGAGTTGGCGGGAAGTGGAGTTGGGCTGCAAGCGGTGCTCAACCAGTTCCTCTCACGACACTTCAGAGACCTGCGGTATAGACCAGGCGGGAAATTCAAATTTACCAACGTTCTCTAAAGGGAAGTTTATTCATTTTTTTCCTTTATTGAAATTTTTTTGGATTTCTTGTGCCTGCAACCATCTGGACCTGCGTCGGAGATTTATTTTTCGTAATTTCGAAATTATTTGGCATTATTTTCGAAATTTTTGTAACGAACATGTGAGGATGTTCGTTACGAACACCAAGCGATCTGATAACAACCTACCCCTGCGACATTATGCGACGCATCGTGAGTAACGAGCAGAGAGAGAGAGAAAGAACTTTGGTTTTCCCACTTCGGTGAAGGAATTTTGAGATTAGAGTTTATCCCACTTCGGTGGAATTTTTGGATATGGAGCAATCCCACTTCATTGTGGTAATTTATACGATTATCGTTATGATAATTGAGTTTAGAGTGCCTGCTATGGCGTGGTGAATTTTTAGAGTTTTGGAATTTTGGGATTGGGTGTAGAGTACAATTTTTTGGCAAGATCTGTTAATTACGTATTTTTGAAGGCCCGTAAAGTTATCGTGAAGAAGGACCAACATATCGAGTCATCCAGTTTCTTTATGGGGTCCACCCTATTGTTAATCTTAGGGGAAATCGATCAGGTTCCGCTGAAATCCCGGTGCTTCAAATTACTATGGATTTTATGGGGATTAATTGGTTACGTTTTAGTTTTTCGGTGGAAGGTCCCGTGAAACAAGTGCAACCCTTGTATCCAGTGAATTGCCAGGTTGCTTTAGAGTTTTTGGAAAATTGGAGAGATTAGTTAGGAGTATTGGTCTTTTAACCCCATGAATCCCGGAGAACCGATCCGTGGGAGGCGCCAAAAGCCCGTAGTAATTATCCGAACGTCCATCAGTTCGATTCAGTTCGTTTAAATTATTTATTAGCTGAGCTTTGTTGAATTAAAATGTTAGAATATATTAATTTAGATTTTTGGATAGTTCCGCATTTGTTCTCCCCGAATTTATTCGGTGGTTCCTTCAAAGCTCACGCCTTTGAGGAGTGAAACATCTCCACCAATCAGAGCTCAGCTCGATTGGTCGGAATTCTCGCGGGTCTAGTGTGTCGCAGTACTGACCCCCGACATCAGTTCCGCGTTGGCCGGCTTAGTAATTAGTCGTGCCCAAATGAGTCTCCCGCAAGGGCTTACGCTTAATTCGTGATAGTCATTCCTTGGATTATTCGTGCCCTTGGATTACAGTGTTCAGGATTAAAATGACTTGGATTATAGTGTCCCTACCCCCGTGAGTTTTTACGGAGATTTTTATTGTTTTCCGAGCCATTAAGTAATGGCGTCAGTTTTCCCACCTCTCTGTGGTGTCCCGCGTGTGAACTTTGGGTCTCACGTGGAGAATTTTTCCCGATTACTCCGTAATCGTGGACGTAGAATTTTGTTTGCATTGGAGATGTCGACGTTCCCGGAATTATTATTCCGTGGTGAGAGTAATTGCTATAGTGTAAAATAGTATTTTTCGTTGTTTTTCCACGTCGGAAGATTTCCGTTGAGTGCCGAACATTTTTGCTCTGAGGTTTTTCGGATTTCACTCTACCGGTTTTCCGCTACGGCGAGTTTAATTTTAGTGAATTTTTATTTTCCCACCGTACGTTATAAGTATACCGTTTGGTTTATTTCCTCTCTCTCTCACTCTCACGGGGATTCGCATACCTTTTCCCCAGTTTTCGGAATTCTCGAGTATTTCGGGATTAGCGACTATTTTTATATTACCATTGAAGAATTTGACTACCTCACTTTTAAGCCAAATTAATCAATAATGTATTATCTTCGGATTACTTAGTTCAATTCAAATTATTATTTTCAAGTAATTATTTGCAGTTTAATCAGTTATAAAGATTTTTTTTTCTCTGTGAGATCAATATAAAAAGAGAGTATGTAAATTCTTTATTCTGAAAAATCTCAATAGTGAAACAAGTAAGGACAATGTCAATCTCTCTCTTTTTTTTGTTTTGTAGTTTTGACGGCCCCATTAACCCGTTTCCACCTGAAATCCACCCCTCTCTCCATAACCTAGCATACTGAGCGAACCGAGGATCGTCACCTTTCCCCAAAAATCTAGTTTTCTCCCTTTTCTTGTACGTTTTAGAGGTTTTCGAATTAGTTAGAACTGATTTTGTAGACTCCTTCGGTTTGTTAATTTCGGCAAAAAATTACCTGGCGCCCATAGATTTTTGCATTTTTGAGTTTAACTAGATTCAGGGGAAGAAGGGCGAAGGTAATAGGCATTTTTAACCCCTATGCAAAAATGTCACGTTAGAAGGGTGAAGGTAATAGGCATTTTATTGTTTTTTTTTGGTCCTACGCTTTTGGGAACCGTCGAACCTATGCTTTTCAGTCTTCAGTTATTTTTAGCGCGCCTTTTCCGGACAACCGAAATCCACTATTACACTTTTTACGCGATTGTTTTGTTTTGGTTTTTTAATGTTTTTTGGATTTCGTTTTGTTTTGTTTTTGAATATGACTTCTCTCGACGCGGTTATCAACCTACAGATATCGCGTGCGACTCTCATTGAAGAAAGTCTCTCGGATACGAAGAAGACGGATGCATCGCAGCTCGGGGTTTCCGCACTTGAGTCAATTTTCGACATTCTCTTGTCATATTGGGAGCAGTTTGAAGTTGCTCACGAGAGGCTCATAGCGAGTAGTGCTAAAGTGGAAGGTCTTCTGGGAATTCCGTATTTCAAGACTCAAGTGTTTGATAAAACGCTTGCGACTTTTCGCTCTGCTAAAGTCGCACTCGCTCAGGTAATGGAGTTGAAAGGAGCTCCTACCCTAAACCAATCTAGGAGGGGCTCTCAGCTCGGCGCTAACTCGTCTCACACAACTCGCAGAGCCTTACCGGAAATTGAATTTTCGAAGTTCTCTGGAATTTACAGAGAGTGGAGACCATGGCGTGACTTATTTCCCTCACCGTTACTTATGGCACTAGATCAGCTCCATTCCTCGCGAATCGTGTTCATCTTCAACTTGCTGAGGATGAAGGACACAGATTCCCAATGGCCGTCTCACCCATCATAAATGAAAGATATGTCGACGATATTTGTGGAGGAGCAGACTCTCATGACCAGCTCATAGAAACCGCTCGTCAGGTTCGTGATCTCTGTGCTGCTGGAGGAATGCCTCTGGCAAAATGGCATGGTAATAGTCCAGCGCTACTCAAGTGGCTCGATCCCGATTGTAACTCCAATGACCACCGAGTTTATGAGGATTCGGGGACGCGGATTCTTGGTGTATCGTGGCAGCCTAGCTCGGACAATTTCGTCGTCTCAAGTCAGACCAGCGTTGATTCGAAAGTCTTTAAGAGGAACATCCTCTCAGAGATCGCTCCGATCTATGACCCGCTCGGATTTCTATCTTCTGTCGTGATCAGGGGAAAACTGCTCATGCAGGAGACTTGGATTGGTAAGCTCGGCTGGGATGAGGAAGTTCCAGAACAAGTAGCTCAGTGTTGGAAAGGTTTCCGTAGTGTTTCCTATCCATATCAAGATGGCTAGGTCTGCTCGAGAATTCATCGATCGAAATCCATGGATTCTCAGATACTTCTGTTCTCCCGATGTCAGTCGCAGTCTATCTCAAGGTCTTCAATGGAAATGAAGAGCCTCGGATTTCGTTGGTCTGTTCAAGAAAGAAAGTAGTCTCGCTCGAACGGCTGACAATACCAAGACTGGAGCTCACAGTTGCTGTTCTTCTTACCAAACTCGTGAAGTACGTCAAAGATCAGCTTAACTTCTCCGAAGTTCCGATGTACTTATGGACCGACTCGTCAGTTTCGCTCACATGTAACAGCGCGCACCCTTCCAGATGGAAGGAATTTGTTAGAAACCATGTCCAGCGCATCCAAGAGATTACGAACGAATAATGGAGACTCGTTCCTGGTAAAGAGAACCACGCTAATTGTGCATTTCGTTGTCTAACCACACCTCAGCTCTCGTCACATAAGCTCTAGTGGCCAGTTCCATCGTGGCTTAAGAAAAGCTCATCGTCGCGGTCATCTCTATGTCTCCCCAGTGGCACTAGCCGACCTGGAGGAGAAGCCGGGTGTCGTGTTCAACGCGAAAGTCCAGCGCCCAGAAATTTGGGATATAGTCCATCGTTATTCCTCGCTCATTAAGCTGCTCAGAGTTACAGCTATTTGTCAGCGTTTTATTTCTCGGCTCAAGAAAGTTCCTGGATCTTCGTTAAAAACATCGCTAAACCCTGGTGACATCGAACAAGCTCAACTCTTCTGGATCAAGACCTGTCAGTCAGCGCATTTCTCCACTGAGCTGACAACCTGGTCCAGAGGACAAAAACTTAACGCATCGCATCCTCTCACTCGATTGACAGTGTTTCTCGACTGCCAGGGAGTTCTTCGTGTTGGCGGAAGGCTAAAGTTTGCTCAGCTCGACGGCGAAAACAAACATCCAGTCATCCTACCCAAGGAGTCTCAGCTTGCCCAGCTTATCATGGAGGATGCTTATCTCAGAACTCTTCATGGAGGAACGCAGCTCACACATGGCCAGCTCAGACAATCCTACTGGATCCTCAGAGGAAGAGCTCCAGTTAGGTCGTTTATTTTGAAGTGCGTTCCCTGCGCTAGATAGTGAGGAATCAGAGCTCAACAGCTAATGGGTCAGCTCCCCGTTGCCCGTCTCATTCCGCGCGTTCCTCAACACTGGAGTTGATTACACCGGACCAGTATCGCTTCGCTCATGGAAAGGACGTGGTCATAAATCACACAAAGAATGGCTCGCAATCTTCATTTGTATAGCTACGTCTGCGGTTCATCTCGAAGTCGTATCAGACTATTCAGCTGAAGGCTTCATAGCTGTGTATCGTCGTTTCGCTGCCCGGCGCGGACTATGTAGGAATCTGTTTTCCGATTCCTGCACAAATTTCTTCGGAGCCGATAAAGAGTTGAAGAAGTTCTTCTCAATGGCGTCTAAGGAATCTGACCAGCTCACTCATCTCTTGCTCAACGATGGAACAAAGTGGTTTTCAATCGTCCAGGTGCTCCACACTTTGGAAGTAAATGGGAAGCTGCGATGAAGTCGGTGAAGTTCCATCTCAACAAAACGATCGGCGAAGCTCTACTCACTTTTGAGGAACTTTACTTGCACAAATCGAAGCCGTGCTCAACTCTCGACCACTTGAATCGCTCTCGGAGGATACTGATGAAATCAGTGCTCTCACACCAGGACATTTCCTGATTGGCCAAGCGTCGGCTGCGGTACCTGAGCCTTCTCTGGACGATTTGAACGTCGCTCGTTTGTCCCGTTGGCAGCTCATCCAGCAGAAGGTCCAGTACTTTTGGAAACAGTGGTCTATTAGATATCTCCAGCATCTGCAGTCCATCTCGAAGTGACACCACGCATCTCACGACATCAGGATTGGTTCTATAGTCCTTCTCACCGACGAGAGATTCTCACCGACGAAGTGGCCTGTCGCTCGCGTCATCGCTCTTCATCCTGGTAGAGATGGACTCACCAGGGTGGTTACCATCAGGAAGTCTAGTTCAACTCTTCAGCGGCCCATCTCAAAGCTCGCTCTGCTGCCCGTCTCGACCAGCGACACATAAGATCTTCGCGACCAGCGTTACCAAGGATCGTCTCATGTGAAGTCAGCTCTACTCCGTTGGGTTCATCGTTAGTCCATTTTCGGACCAGCTCATGCCGAGGACTTACGACCTTCGCCTTGGAAACTGGCTCAAATTAGACGTGAGTACCGGAACCAGACGGAATTTACGACTCCAACGATTCTGGCAGTACTCCCAGTTGGTTGTCTCTGATGAGCTCAATCGGTGATGTTGCTCTTCGAACACTTATTGGTCTGAGTTCGATTAATCTTTTTTTTGTTGCAGAACTGCGAAAAAAGGTGTCAGCGATTGCTGACGGCGGAGGAGAAGGTTCGGTTTTCCACCGAATATTTATTTCCCACACACACACACACACTCACAGACACGCATGCACTCACACAAACTTCGCTCGCATGCATGCATGGCCTATGCACAACTGACCTGCGCAACAGTCTAAAGTGACCAGTGGCCTCTCACCTCTGACATCTGAGGCGCCACTTGATGGACAGGTGTCCAGTGAATGCCCCCATTTAAATTGAGGAACGTTCGGACCCTCGATGATAGACACCTTGCCACCTTGCGGTCTTTTAATCGGCCTGATTTGCATTTCGGCCTTCGGACAGTGTAGTTTGACTTTCTTCGAATCGTTCTATTGTTTGTTCCGCGTATAATTGCTCTGCGTTTTAAGTTCTGCGAATTATTCGATAATATTGTGACCCGTGCATTTGTTTGATCTTCTCGATTATTGTAATGAAATCAGCACGTGTAAATATTGCCTTTTTATTGTGATTAAATTGACTGAGTTAAAAAAAGTGTTGTGTTCTGGTCCCTCTCGCGCTCCCGTAAGAATTCGTTAATATCTCGCCCATCGATCCATAACTCCACAGATCTCAGACCCGGCATCGAACAGACAAAAATACCAAAAGAATCTGATTGACACAAGTAAACTGGACAACCGAAAGAAGAAAACTGACAGGTGAATCGGAAACGAAATGTAATCAGAGTTCACAAAAATTTCCCCGTCAGCACGTTGCCGCTCACGGTCACCGCTCGGTGTGCGATTACATTGCTAAAATACTCCATCAAAATAATAAAAGAATGAAATGAAACTTACACATAAAAATTAAAAAATTTTAGCTTCTCAAAATTATTTCCAAATTGAATTGAAAAATACTTTTGAGCGGGGGCTGTAATGTCTAAAAATTTTATGCTAAAATTAACTAAAAATTAAAATATAGACATAATGTAAAATAATAAATCATATAATTATGAGAGCATTTTCATCACCCGAACTCAATAAATCCAAAAACAATGGAATTGAGAACAAGAGTGATGAAATGCTTCATCAGCATGCCCCCGTTTCTCAATATAAAAATTCGTACATGAAGGAATAATTGAGAAACGATAAACCAAAATCCTCCAAAACCGCGTGAACTACTTCTCCGATGATGATTTAAAAGTGGGAAAACCATACGAAATTGCAGAAAAATAAAATATTATTCCGTCTTGAAGCAGTGACGGAGCAGTAACAATTCTGGTGGAAATAGTTCACTTAATCTGTCCGGTTTTTCAAACATTCCTCCCTCAATAATTCGCAGAGTCGAAATCATACGGGATAGTTGCCGTATTAATAGTGCTACGAACAATTGGAATTACCCGGAAATCAAATTTCTTTAACCGAGAGCGGTGACTTCTCATACACATAAGGAGTTCGATTATTGTGTCACGTTATGGACAGTCTCACTCAAACTCTAAAATTCAATTTTCAAAAATTTGTAAAAATAGTCTAACGAGTAGAAGAAAATGTCTTCACGAAAGTATCCATAATAACGTTTAGCACGACTAATTGCTGGTGAGGAAATTGCGGACTCCCCCAGGGATCTACAAATAAAACCATATAACTGTAAAAATCAGACTGAACTGTGAGTAACAAAAATTGTGATATAAAACCAAAATTAGATTCTTCAGATCATTCCAGGGGTAGAGAAATTCGAAGTAATTCAGTTGTTAAATTGTTGTAAATTAAATACTTCTGTTTTTGTAAATCTAATGATTCTAAATTCACAATTAAAATCAAATTCAACTCTAGATTTCTTGATCTTCAACTATCTTTGAAACGGAATCATCTCCCTAATAATAAAATCCCTTTCCACTTAGAAAATTCCATTTAAAACCCACTTGACAATTTTCTTTACTATTCAAAGGTAAGAGTATAAATTTTGCGTCGTCCAATAAATTTAAATTTTTCATAATTTTAGCTTCCTTTCTAAGCAATTAAAAAGATAGAACGCTGAATTAGTAAAATAATGAGTGAAGCAAGTTGAACTCAATTCATTGTTCAACTTCTTCACTTTTGTAAATAAATTATTACTTAATTTATTGACCCTATTTTGGGGCATAACATTCCTCCCCGCTAGGGAAGAACATTTCTATCATTGGAAATTTTCTTATCTGACACAATTTTACAATTTCCATCAAACATTGCCAGATAAGCAATTACAATATTTTCCACAAAATAACTTCTCATTTAAGATGATCAAATACAGTGTTTTTCCACAAAATCAAGTATCGCGGGAGTGATACGTGCCAAGATGTATGCGTGAAATGGCCACTACCGCTATACTTATTCCGAAGCGCCTTCCCCCTCTACTCATTTTCCGACTTTCCTGTATATAAGTATGCCAGTGCGATGAATTTCATCAAAACACGTTTATTCTGGTTTGTTTTGTTTTGGTTCGGAGTCGAGTTCGATGTATCGATATTTCATCCATTTCGATGTTTACCTTCTCCTTCTGACTTGTTTTGTTTTGATTCCGCCTTTATGTCTCGATATTTCAGTATATCGATATCTCGATAGTGAATATCGATGACTTGAGACCACTGAGGGTACGGTTAGGTTATTCCCACGTGTGTCAGCTGTTTCTAAGTTGCCGGTCATTTCATGCTTTATTGTTAATATTATCTTGTTATTTTTCAATCAAAAATGCAAGTGAAAGCGAAAATTGCGTAAAAGATATGGGAATTAAGTGAAAAATCTACTGAAATGTGAGGATAATAGTGTACTGTTGTGAATTATTCTTCAAATCACAAATGCAAATGAAACAGAAAATGCTATACAAGATATGGGAATCGAGTGAATAATCCGGCGAAAGTAAAGAAAAAATTATTAGTAAACTATTCGTGAAAATAACAAATGATAAAATAATAATAAAAATGATATGCCTGAACATTTGTGAAAGGACATATTTTTACGGAATTGTCTCGATGAACTAAAAAAAAGCAACATATGTCACTTGAATTCTCCTTGCAACGCTTGTTATTTGATATTTTCATATTTCTTATCACTGACGCGATTGAAAAAAAAAAATAGAAGAAATCAGAATTGAGGAAATTTTCACATAATTTTTGTCAATCAGCAGTAGCCATTTTTTTTATATGAAACCACACCGAATGCGTCGTTCGTTTTTTTTGTGGGGGAGGGGAGGAATGAGTGACAAGGGCGCCATTGTAAGTGAATGATCATCTGTGGAAATCAGAAGGCGTCAGTTACTAAGTGCTCTTTCATATGAGAATATGTATTTCCTCCCCATTGTGTTGATAAACAATTAAAAGGATAGTTAAGTCACATTTCTGAAGATAAAATTGATTTTTTCTAAAAAAATTCGACTCATTTCCATATTGTGGGGCTAGTTCAAGTCCGAATTGAACTGAAAATTCAAAACTGGGAGGTCGAAGTGATTCCTGATTTTTCATCTTTGTGAGTTTCGTACAGTGGCCATTTTTCCCCTTCATAAAATTGAGCTGGACCTCTATATTTATGAAAATGTGGTGAAAAGCAACCATTTTGTGCTGAGGATCCTCTGTGGAAATGGCAAAGCGTCATTTGCTTCGTGCTTTGTAACGAGAAACTACGTGTTTTTGTTATCTCGTTAAAAAGTAAAAAATTCCCCTCCAAACGAATAAAAATTGCAGTCAAACAGAAGGAAAAAAGGGAAAAGAAGCCATTAATTATCATCAATTATGGACCAAGTGGAAAGAGAACTTGTGAGTAATTATTTACCTATTTTTTCAGTTTTCATAACTCTCACTCATCATTCATGAACAAGTTTGGTATTCTCCACTGTGTGACATCCTCTTATTCTTGATTCTTAGCTCCCTCCGCAAGAATTCAAAGTCGATATCAAATTTAATAATCAATTATTGAGATAGATATCAAATTGAATAATCAATTATTGAGAAATGAAAATTAGTTTACGAAATTTCTTTGGCATTCAAACTGACATGGATAATATCATGCATGCGTAGAATGTTTATTCATAGAATTTGTAATAATTTTGATATTTTTTAGCAGAATGATCTCTTGCTTGATGACAATATGGAGATGGATGAGGAGAATCGTGTGCTCATTGAAGAGATCAATGAGGATGACGTATTATTTGGAGATGACGAGGGTTATGCCTCGAAACAGGCGCAGGCTAGATTTGTTGGCGAATGATTTGGATAGAGAGGAGACCATCCGTCGACTGAGGGATGAGTTATCTTCTTTGGAAGCCGTATGAGATAACAGGGCTCATGATCAGCCACCACTAAGAGATGAGCCTCGACAAGCAAATCCAGATCAGCCCAGAGGACGATTCTCACCTGCTCAAGGGAGGCAAAGACAACCCGAGCGTGACAACCCAGCTGGAGCACAAAGACTGAGACAACCAGAGCAGGACAATCCAGCTGGAGCACAGAGGCAGAGACCGAGACAAGTCCAGAGAGACAACCCAGCTGGAGCACAGAGACAGAGATCAAGACAAGCCCAGAGAGACAACCCAGCTGGAGCACAGAGTCCGAGACAAGCACAGGGAGACAACCCAGATGGAGCACAGAGACCGAGACAAGCACAGAGGCAGAGACAACCTCCACCCTTTAGACGAACGTTACCTACTATGAGGAGGAAGGAGAGTGAAGACAATCGAATGTATTTCAACAGGCAATTCGTCAATCACAGAGGGCAAATTCATCGAGGCCACCGTGCTGGCAGAAGGCTGGCTCAGCGTAATACTCGGTGAGCACAATATGCTTTTACACTTCTTGAAAATTCTGTTGGCTTCAGTGTTCTATCTAAATAGAGATTTCCTAGATCAAATGCTTATCTCACTTAGCTTATTTGTTACTTCATCAACTGATTTTTTCATTTCATTCTAATTTCTTGAAACTTTTATTTATTTGTTTTAATCTATTATAGTTGACTGTGATTGAGATTATAATGTTCGAATTGTTTGGAACATCTAAATTATGAATCATCTGCCAGAATGATTTCAATTCAGTACCGAAGTGGTAAATAAGTCGATTTTTCATATCTCATTGAATTATCTCACTAACGAGTGATTCTAGGAGGAAACATCAGAGAACATTTTTTGTGGACAATTTTCTCATCTACAAAAAAGCTTTTTTGATGTTTTCCCCGAAAATCACTCAGTATCGAGATAATTCAATGTTTAATGGGATATGGAAAATCGACTTGTTACCCTTTACCACTTTGCTACTGAATTGTTGCACTTGAATCACATTTTCACATATTTTTTCTGTTTTTTTTTTCGCCTAACATTTTCTATTTTTTACCCATCTTGATCTTAGATTTTGGAGGAGTCAGTATCGACGTGTTAATAATCGTCGTAATTTTAACTCGGGTCCCAATTTCAATTTTTATTACCCGCGTATATAAAAATCTTCGCCCTCAGAATTTCCTGCTGCGTCCTTCGTATATATTTGGTATCGGTTAAGTACCCTCAAGGTAGATTTCGTGCATTCTTTTTATTTATAAAAACATGAATCATAATCACCATCTATTCATACAAATGTCTTTTTTCTTTTCCTTGTAACAATTGATGGAATTTGAAATTTCCAAATACTATTTTTTAATCTACTTCAATAATAATTTTAAGATACATTTTTTATCCCTTTTCCAGGAAAGTAACAATGAAGATAATAATCGAACAAGAGTCAGACGTTGATGGTGAGAAAAGAAGCCAGAGGGACGACAGGAATTCGGTTTCATCAAGGGAAAGTAAATTATTTAGACGATTTCTCCCCATGATACCTAGAGATGAACGGCAAGACGTGATCATTCTATTCAACAAGTCCTAGGGAGAAATCTTTTTTTTTACGCGGGTGATAAATTGAATCACAAAATTGGAAGGTGTCAAGCTTCCCACATTGTCTAACAATTCATCGATCATTTCATTATTATTTCCCAATAAGAATTTGCTGACGAATTGATTCAGAGATTCTACATTTGTTTCTCGTCATTTGCTTTAACATATAAGAAATTAGAATTTTCTCAAATTTTGATTTTCCGCCTCCTAATGATCACAAGTATTTGATGTTTCTCATATTTTTCAGTCAATCTAATTCAATTTATGATTTATTATTCATTTTTTCTTGAAAAAATTTGTAGCTTCTGTCAAGTTTCTTGCATAATTCAGTTTATTTGACCATGTCAGGGATTCACATATATTACGAATGGTTGAAATTATAACCTTGGAAATTAGACAATTTCATTCGACTTCACTTCGTCATATCTACCTGATGGATTATTATTTTTCTACATATAGAATTTTTCTACTTCATTTTCATTTCCTTGAAGTCGTGATTCACCCCAATCATAATCAGTATTCGATGTCTTCTTTATTGTTCACTCGGTTCCATCGAACTTATGATTTGTTTTTTTCTCTCGAGTGACAATTTTATTTATAACATGTATAGTTTCCCTCCACTTTCTTGTGTTATTAAGTTAATTTGAGCTCATTTTCGTTGTTCTTTACTCAAAAATTCGTGAATAATACTATACTGTTAGGGTCCGCTACCAGAATGTCACAGACGATGGCGTGCCTTACCAATGGGACAAGAACACCAACGTCCTGAAGCCAGCCAAGTCCAACACTAAAAATACCTCTAAATCCCCTCCAATCCCCTCTCTCTCAGTCTCAACCTCTTTTGCAGACACAGTCTTTTCCCTCTATCCCCGCAACCACCACTTTCCCAACCCCTGTCAACATTAATAAGCCTGGAAATTTTTTAGGAGCCGGTCCTCTGAAACCCCCCACCCGGGAACCCCATCTGACCTATCGATTGCTTTCTGGAATGTGACTAACTTCTGCCACCTGGGGGACCTGGTGGAACACGACCTAGCTGACATCTTGTGTATCTCGGAAACCATGAAGATCAATCCTCCTCAGCCATGCCCCAAGTTACTCGACAACTTCAACTGTTTCTGGTCCAACGCTGTCAAGGACAAATCCAAGGGCAGGGGCAGTGGTGGGCTTCTTCTCTGCGCTATAAAAAAATATTGAATTTTATATCAGTTTATTTTATATCACATTATCAGTCATAATCAGTATTTAATGTTTGCTTTATTTTTCACTCAGTTCCATCTAATTTATGATTTGTTATAGTTTTCCTCCAATTACTTGTGCCATTTAGTTAATTTGACCTCATTTCCGTTGTTCTTCACTCCGAATTTCGTCAATAGTAATGTGGAGGTTTTTTTTTATCCTGAATTTAAATGATAAAATCAGAAATCTAAGGAATACATTCTAGTTGATTGTTCATTCATTTAATTTGAAAATCATTTTCCCTCATTTGTTTAGCTGATATCTGTTGGAAATGACGATTTGGAATCAAGCTAAGAAATATGAATCACATATGTATTTTTCCTCACTAAAAATTTATATGATATATCAAAATATTTCCACTTCATTACATCTATCGGATAATCTATGATTCTGTCTCATTTTTTCATTGAGTTATTGTAAGGAATTATTTTTTAAGTTTCTTGTGCTTCAATTTTCATAAAAATTAATTTTTCTTTGTTTTTCATGTTGTCATTCAATCGATTTGATGAATAATTTCTTTTAATTTGTTCAGCCGATATTTCGTGGAATTTATGATTTACAATTAAGTTTAAAAAAAATTAAGGACACATGATATATCTTTTCCTACTGAAAAATTAATGGGTTACATTAGAATATTGGAATAGAAATTTATTTTTTGATAATGTGATTGTTCAACTCGATAAATTTTCCTTTTTTTTTTGTAACGTTTTTTTATTTTCTATGAATGAATTCCTTACGTGAATTCTGATGTGAATTCATTCAGCTAATCAAATTTTCCGCCTCTATTCCATCTATCCTTTTTCATTTTTCCTCCGATTACGCCGCCATGTTGGCCAACAGATCAATTTCGATCAATGTATTAGCAATCGAGCATATTAACCTCAAATTCAGGTAATCAAGTGCGATCTCTGTGTTCATGATTGAGTTGATTTATTTTCATTCTATTATCATCCAGAATAGAAATCTCTGAGAGAATATCTTCATTCTTTCATTTTTCTTACAATAGACCTATATGCGCGCGTTGCGCGCGTACCACCCGTAAGTTCAAAATGGTCAAGTCTAAATCATAATTGACTTATTGTTAATTGATTATTCTTTATGACTTATAGAATGAAGAGATATAATATCAATATTCATTTCACNATATCGATTTCGAAAAAAGCTAGTGAACTGCTGATTAAATGTCTTCCAGTATTCCATGATTTGTGCGTTATATCAAGATTCATCGTTTCTAACAAAAAAAACTTGAAATCGCATCGTTATGCACGGAGAAATGGTCTCGTTTACAAAAAAACGCTAGANCCCTTTATTGAAATATAGAGTTTCCCTTTGAATCACAAGAGCTACCGCTGATCAATATTTTCCTTTCATTTATAGNCGCACTCACACACACTCCCATGCACACACATCGCCGTATTCCGCATCGAGAAAAGATGTAATTTATCAGAAAAGTAAAATTGTTTCTTGAATGTATATCGATTTCGAAAAAAGCTAGTGAACTGCTGATTAAATGTCTTCCAGTATTCCATGATTTGTGCGTTATATCAAGATTCATCGTTTCTAACAAAAAAAACTTGAAATCGCATCGTTATGCACGGAGAAATGGTCTCGTTTACAAAAAAACGCTAATTTTCGACTTTTTTCCAAATGTTTTTTGGAAAAAACTGGAGAAACGCTGAGACGATCGTCTCCATAATCTAATCAGGTTCAAGTCACATGAAAATACAGCGATTAAAAAAAAAAAAGTCAAATCGCATCGTTTGTTCAGGAGGAATCGTGGCACAAAATTTTTGTCACAGACGTACGCACACACATACACACATCCTCACATATAGACAGGTACCTGAAAAGGGTCAGAAGTGGTTCCAAAGGCCATGAAACGTGGAGAAATGCTTAAATTTCCACATTCGATTTTCGGGGTCATTACAATAACTTCCTCCCTTCGGGTCGGGAAGTTAATAACAGAAAGAGAGACGATTTGACTCGAAATACTTCATTTTCTTCTTTCTTCCAACAAAATATTTTCCAATTATCCAGATGATTCTCGAATTCGTCCAATCATATAAGAGAGGGAAGGATTCAAACTGGAAAAGAAAAAGTTGGGATCAGTAGATTTCAATTGTTCATAAAGATTTAAAAAAGGTTTTATTATGATAAATAATAATCGATTCACCTATTCAAGTTGCATCAAGTATTAAATATTGACAAATATTTCATGGTAATTCATTGTCATTTCTAATCTTCCTCCCCTGGTCGACCGTAGTCTTTTCTCGAGGTCTCGTTTGATAACTTCAATATTAAGATAATAAATAAAGATAATAAAATAAGATAAATAAAAATAAGAATGAAATATTCCTAAGTATGTATAAGCATACATAAGTATACTTAAGCATACATAATCATACATAAGTATACATAAGCATACATAAGCATACATAAGCATATATAAGCATACGTAAGCATACATAAGTATACCTAAGTATACATAAGTATACATAAGCATACATAAGTATACATAAGCATACATAAGCATACATAAGCATACATAAGCATACATAAGTATACATAAATATGTATTCATATTTATGTATGTATGTAGGTATATATGTATATGTCTTATCTTAAATTATCATTTCTTATTTTATCTTATTTTATCTTAGAATGAATAATAAGATAAATAAGATAAATAAAAATAAGAATGAAATATTCCTAAGTCAAGCATGGCGGAATAGATTAGGGACACAAAACGTTTCATGGATTTTTTTAAATCAAGTCAACGTATTTTTATATCCATAAGCATATACAGGGTGTCTCATGGGAGGTCATCAAGCAGTTATGGGTCGATTCTAGGGGTCGATGGGATACTGGGAAAAATAGCGAAAAAAATTGTGTGGGTGAATTGATTAAATTATAAGGGTTTGAAATTGACCAATGAGAGGGTGAGTTTCAGTTGAAATGTCGAACATGGGGAGAATGGTGGGAGTAACGGAGAAACTTTACAACACTGTGCGAGTAGGCGGCTGAACTCCCGTTATGACGTGAAGGGGGTTGTCTCAGTTCACGTCCGTCACTCATTAGGGTTATGGCGGCGCAGGGGGCAATATCAACATGGAGAATAAAGAGGCCGTCATACGAAAATGGATTGAATTAAATGCATGAAGCGGTGATATTGAATGCTCCAGTAGAATGAACTTCATTTTACTCAATTAACATCAAATTAATACGTCAATAAATGTCACACTAACTGTTTTTATGTCTTGAAGCATGCGTATGAGACCAGATACCGGTATAAATAGAAAAATTGGGACTATTCCAAATCTCAATTTAGATATCAGTACATAATGACCTTTCTCATACTCGAATTGATACCTGATGGAACACTTCCATCGGTATTTATTCATGTGTCTTTATCTAGAACAATGTTTATCGCTCTAGATTTCACTTGACACTCAAGATCGTTACTGAGAGCTTCATTAGTACTCGAATAAAGCCTTAGTATGGGTACTAGTTGATATACCAGTTTGAAACATCCATATTTGAGTTCTGTATTTCCATGCGTTGGATCTACGGTAAGTATTGACAGTGACTAGTTTCATTTCGATATTTTATATCATTTTGATAATCCTTCAATTAAAGCTCAAATCTAACACTTACAACGATATTTCAATTTTTACTAAAAACTATACGTAATTCACCAATAGTTGGAGTATCTATGATGACTTCACATATCCATACTGCTTATTCAATATGGATTAATCAGACAAATACTCCAAAATATCATTTATTTTTCCAGCAAGTTTATTCAGAATTATTCATGAAAATTAAGAAGCAACATCCGCAGCTAACTTTGGCATATGGAAATTACTGGATTTTCATCCGTTTATCTGGATCGATTGAAAATTTTTTTCAGAGCCTCATTGAAGGCACGAGTTGATAGGTGGACGTCGGGAACCTGTTGATTCACAAATTCTGGAAATATCATAAAAACAATTCATGGAATTATTCAAGTGCACATGAAAACATCTATAAATGTGATAATCCATAATTGAACCAATATTATGAATAAGGGTGAAGTACTTGTAGACAATTCTAAGTAATAGTAGAGTAATTACATCCATTCTACGCAATTCATGAGTAAATCACAGATTTCCAAAACTTCTCGTCTTTTCTAACATTCTTTTCAAGTATTCGTTTCAACATTCTATCATTCTCATGCGCATAAATCGATAGTAAAGTGATAATACAAGATGAGTAAATATTATTGTACCAGCCCTTTTTGAAAGATATTTTTCGAGTCTAGGAGGGATAGAGAAATTTCCTTGGAGATCTTTTGTGTAGAGAAAGATTAGAGCTAGCAAAAAGGTATTTAAGAAAGTTTGCTCTCTTTTAGATTCCGAGATATTTCTCTGAGAGCTATGTTTACTTGGATTTTTTCACTACCACTTTACTACAAGCACTTTCTTTAATAAAATGATACGCACTACGAACAGCTCTATACACTTTGTCAGGTAGTGCCACACGGTTCGGTCCTTTCCCCGTCCGAGTCATATTAATCATATTCTTCCTACCAATCGTTTTCCGGATCAATTCTCGGATCATTTTATCAGGATTTGCCCCAAACTTAACCTTGATCCTATCCAATTCAGATTCCCAAATAAATACGCCGGTGCGAGGATACAATTCAGTACGATTTCTTCTACCACTTCGCCAGTCGCCGATGTCATCGTCATCGTCATCATCATCGTCCTCATCTCCAACAGCATCATTTCCACCACCAACCATCTGATTCATCCCATACGCTCCATCTGCTACGTGACATCGTGTCATAGGAGACAATACCATGAATTTTATCGCATTGGATAATATTCACCATTATTATTCGTCGCTATATCTTCCACATCTTGTTTTACATGTGTTTCAGGTTCAGTTTTGACGGTTGATTGTTTTGTCTCAGTCCCTGAATAAGAGAGTGATAATTTAGCAGTATATGAAGTAACACAGTACAATATTTTTCAGTAAAGCATTGTTACAGCCATTGTGATTACTATTTTCAGCATCATTGGACTCTCGAGCTTCAATCTTAATGTTTAATGGTGCTGGATACTCTCCTATAATTGACAGACCTAAATAAAGGAGCACTCAATTGTTGTCCGTAATTTGATAGTGTAGAACAATGTGTTATTGATTTTTTTACGCACCATCATCAGTATCACCATCGAAAACATCGATTGTATCGTTCGCTCGAGATTCCGTCTTCACTGATAGCCTCTTGTGATCATCAGCTGTAGTCATCGGACCTAGAGGAGGATGAGATTTGATGCGATTGTAAATGTGATGAGATTGTGCATTGAAATAACTTGAA